TAGATGATAGAGTTTACTCCGAAATTCTGATAGACTTATCTGAATGGGACAGAAAAACGAGATTGATAATGAATTGATAATGATATTATTTAATTGAGACAGCGGCCCTGCTGTCAAGTGTTTATAGGTTCATACTAACACTCAACAGGCCCCAGGTTCTTTTTTTTATTTTGGCGATTAAACCGTCCGATCCTTCCCTTTTGTACCAACTGACCTCAATTGGAAATGCCAAATGAAGTCAGGTCTTTCTTCACCTGGTTACTATTTTCTTGATGACAGAGGATACCTAGTCTTCTCCACGTTCACCTCCTGGCTAATTCATTCTGTTTTCATATCCTCTATGGAAATGTCAGAACAGCCGTAGAGTTTGATGAATCCGATGATGTCGATGTCGCCAGCTCTTGTATGTACTTACAGAAAATTTTATCCAAATGATTTATTTCTGCGGCTTATCTTATCTGATCCAACATCATGTTAAAGAAATCAAACGATTGGAAGTCGCCCTGTCTGAAGCCTCATTTGGTATCGAACGGCCTGAAGAGGCCCTTGTTGATTCTGAGTTAACTGGTGGTATTGCTCGCCATACTAGTTTTGCGAGGATGCCAAATTCGGAAACTGTTGCGTATAGGCGTCTCTCTTTCGTGCTATGGACGGCTGCTTTAAAATGAACAAATAAATGGTGAGTGTCTTCCCTTTTTCAGGGATCTCTTCTAAGGTTTGGCATTTGGTGAACACCTGGTCTATCGTAAACTTGCCAAGTCTAAAGCTACACGGATGAGAACCTAATGAGTTTGTTGATGGAGAGCTTCGGCCTTTAGCATCATACGCTCGATAATACCTTATACGTGGGGTTTAGAAGGCTGATACCGCCTTAGTATAGCGGGGTCGGTTTTCTTGTGAATTGGGCAGAAAGGAAATGAATTTCAGAGATCGATTCCAGCAACGTCGACTGGGGCCTAAGGTTCATCTTCTTCACTGGCTTCAGTGTTGTTCTCATTAAAAAGGGTGAACAAATTGTCCCTTCATAATTTAGGTACGTCCTGAGCATCCATAACCAAGTCACCATGGTTGTCAACATGGTCCTTCTCTTTAGTCGAGGCTTGGGCGCAGACAGGGGTAAACGACACTACCTGAAAACGGAGTCTCTCTACCACCTCAAATCCAACACCGAATGTGCGACCCTCTACGTGGTAGCTATTGTAGACGTTGCAAGACTCCACGCTTACCTTGCTTTGCACTGTCCATCGCATTTCATGGATGGTAGTGATGTCATAATTTATTTTTCCCGATTACATCACCCAGTCGGGCAGAGGCACCTTCCCCATTAAGGGATATTCCAGGTGCATACATTAAATCATAGTTGTTTATACGTTTGCCGTGGCCGTCATCAAAATAAGGGGGTCTCATCCGGGATTTCATTTTCCTTTCCATTGGAACTTAATTTCAAGTGACCGGTTCACAAAACCCAGCCCACAATCAGAACCTGAACATTTTTTGAACACACTTTTTTATTTTGAAACGCTTACTCTACGCTGAGGAAATAGTCTAGTTATGTACGTCAACTTAATACGTTGCTCTCAAAACAGGATTTGGTTATTTTGTGTTTAGAGAAGTACTCGTATATCTAACGGACTCTATTTTGAGTGCAGGACAGGCGGCGGCTTACAGCAGCATCTCCAAATAGACGCTGCCGACTTCAGTGTGATTAAGTCCTAGTGGCTCCACCGAAGCTCCCTCACTTTCTGTCGAGACCCAAGTCTCTACTCGGATTGGTTACCGCATCCCACACATGGGTTACTCAGGTTGCACAGAGTGTGTGAGCTAATAAGCAATAGTAGGAATTGGGTACAGTCGACCAAATGTTACGACATACCCAGAGGGGCAACGATTTTCCATTGCACTTGATTCCGAAATTCAATTATATTTATTCAAGCAAGAAAACTAGCTTGTAATTTTTTCTGGTATACAATTTTAATTGTATCTAGTAAATCATTTTACAAATTAGCTGAATACTCAGCAAAACTCAAACACATACAGATTCATGTAAAGGTGTAAAGAATTCATTTGAGTAAATTTTTCATTCAATTATTATTTTGCCAACATTTATTTGAACCTCAAATTTTATGTTGATAGGAGTACACAAGTATAAGAAATGAAGTGTAATACGGGGAAAAATAGAGGAAACTAACCACCGAAAGGTAATTTATGCGCTTAAATAGAAAGTATTAAATTGATTAAGAACTACCGATGCGGAGCACATGAAAGACGAAAAGCGGAGAAGGCACCGCGAATAGAAGGAAATTGTCATCAAGTATAAAATTTATGTGAAGTAAAAGTTTGACAAACTTAAGGATGCAATTAGCATACGACGACTGATGAGAAAGATGCATTTGTAATTGTGAAGGGAAGCACATGCACCAGATGCATTGAATCCAAGTGTGTCCGTAAAAGTATGAAAGTAGTTCATTTTAGGTGTGGTACTAATTCGTGGCCGCTTCAAGTTTTTGTTTGTGCATATACATATGGCGCAAAAAATAAATAAATAAAATTCCACACAGAATGAAAAATATACCATGCTGTTCAGAAAAATATTTTAATCAAAATAAGAAAATATCGTATCTCTCAATTTGACAGGAAATACCGCATCGTGGCTAGTTGCACTGACGGACAAATGTAGAAAATTGGAAGAAGTCGCCACAATTTACTGAAGCTTCACTTCTAAAGGGACTACTTCACGGTAATTTCAAACATGAAATTCGTTTGTTTGTACCGGTTACCAATTTCGAAAACCTCGAGTTTTTAGTGCCGGCTATTTATTTTGAAAAAGGCGGAGTAGTCATGCCCATTTGACTATTATGGCCATTTTAAAAATAAAATCGGTTTCTGATACCGGATTTGTAGTACCGACTAGCGCCTTTGTCAAATACAAATTCTTTTAGTACGGCTACTTCAAATATGAAACCGGTTTCTGTGTACCGGCTACCAATTTCAAAAAATCTGAGTTAGTACCGGCTACCAATTATATAAAAACCGGAGGTGTCCCGCCCATTTTTTAAGTAAAAATTTAATATTTTGCGTAAAGATTTCTCTTTATATCAGTTTAGTCATAATTGAAAGATAGCAGTTTACATTTTTTGAATACTGTAGTATGGGAAGTGGGCGTGGTTATTAACCGATTTCAAAATTTTTTTAACATTAGGAATAATGTGATACTATGAACAATACTTGTGACAAGTTTGATGAGTTTGGTTGAACGATTTTTGAGGTACAAATTATCTATCATTGGTGGGCGTGGCTAAGATTATTTTCCAATTTTTTTATAAACCGAGCTTCATACTAAAATATTAATTTATACAAATTTATGTATGATTTCACAAATATCGAAGTTTTAGTATTTAAAAAAAAATACCGTTTTCCATAAATACTGTTATATGAGAATTGATTGTTTATCGTCCGATAAGTCATTGGAAAGGAGCCACTTCTGCGACACTGGTATTTAAGAAGAACTTCTTTAAGATTTTTCAATTATTTAGTAGGTTTGAACGGTTGAAGGTGAGCTTTAAAAATTCATGAAAATCTCTTCATCTGTAATAATCATTCACTTGAAACCAGTTCTGAAATTAGTAACGTTGTAATGCTACTTGTTTTTTCTGAACTAATTGCCCAATTCTACATGATTCAGTAGAATATACATACATAGTTTGTACATATATGTATATGTGCATACAAATGAAGTTTTTTTTTGTTGTGTGCACACAAAAGTAAGTATAACCGCAGCTGCTCAAGAACATCGTCAAAGTTGAACAACTGAACTGAAGCGGCAGCGAAGAATCAGACAAACAATGAAATGATATGCAAAGGAAGTATGTATGTAAGTATTGTATTTGTATGTTTTTAGAAGTAGTACAAGCGTGCAAATGAAGGTGTTGAACGGCAACGATGAAGTTTGTTTCTAAACTCATGTTCTATTAACGGATGTGTACTTATTGACACGTGTGCATGTATGCGGATTTGTGTGTGAACAAGTTTTACGCGAACGCTTTTGGAACAACAGGTTGAAGAAGGTGCATGAAAGGTTCAGGAACTGCGTGTAAATTTGTTGCTAACATTGTAGGCAAAATCGATGTGAACAATAAAATCAACTTTGTCAAGAAAAAAAGCTATAGTAGTTCAGATTTATGAAACATTTACAACAAATCACTTGTATTGAGATGGTCCGCATCCACAATCATACATAAATAGTGGCGCTCTTGTTTAATAACCTTAGAAACCAGTGAAAAAGCGGCCTATTTAGGGTTCGTTGTCCCCAACTGCATCTTTTTTTTTTTTTGAAAAGTAAATTGAGAAAATATATAAAACACGCAGGTTCTCACCTTTTTATTCATGTAATCCTTCATTCAATTCGACTCAAAATATGACACTTTTTTCGGCTTATTACCTACTATGTAAAAAAATTGTACTTTTAAGAGCACTGCAAATTTTTTTACTTCAACTGGAAATACATGGCATTATTTTAAAGAATAATGTAAAAATATAATTTATTGCATAAATTATTTAGGAACTAGCGGCTATGAAAGATTTCAACAAATTTACTTTATTTATTTCGTTTTCGTAATGCACATACGTAGATTGTATGTAAGGTCCACAGTCTAGAACAAAATTATTGAGATCACAATTTTATACGGCGAATTTCCAACGTTCATGGGTGTTGTTTCTCGGATTACGCATATATGAGCATCTCTGTCAAAAAATATAGGAGTGACGCATCTTTTAGGAAACCGAGACTCACAACCTGGGCCCTGTTGGGGTTAGCTTGAGTTCGCAATGCCGACTAAGGGCATAAAGGACCTAGCTTAGCGATGATCTACATAAACCACAGATTGATGGTAGCAAGCAGATTTGCTTAAGTAAGGCAACCATAAAAGCAAAGCCCCATTGTTGGAACACGGTATTTGGCACTGTTAATAAACAGGTAAGGAAACCTTTTAAATTAGCTAAATTCGTGGACTCCGTCGAGTGTTAGGATGAGTAAGGATCTAAAGGAAGATATTCGCAGAGATAAAAGAAGCTGGTGGCAGAATTTCCGCAGTGAAATCGAGGGTTGCAGCGAGGCAACAAGGCTAAAAACTCTAAGGGCTCTATAACGCAGAGACTCATTATAAAGGACGACGACGAATGAACTCGAAGTGGCAAGCCATCACTCAAAATACTGATGCAAGCCGCTAGTACTGTATCCATTCTAAAAAGATAAAGGATTGTGGGAGATCTCGTGATGCCAGGTCAAGATGTTATCTTCCCAGCGATGCTGCAGATGGTGAGCCAGAAGGCCAGAAGTTTGTCAAAGTAGCATATTTGAAGACTTTATAAGGCTGAGCTACCTATGTTTCTATTGGACACCCGCTCCCCATGGACTATAGGCCTATAAGATTGATTTTAGACAGACTCGCCAAAGAAGGCGCTTATAAAACCATTCTTTGAGGAAATAAGAATCTACACCCACCGCTTCCCATGCGTATTTGCCACTTCAAAAAAAGTTCGCAAAAAGCCCCATTTGAAAACTATGGCTATTGACTATTTCATGTCTTCCAGTATGCATAGGCTTCATGTCCGAGAACTCTTACTATTCTCATTGGAAACTTCATTCTGGGTCTTCCTAGATTCTATAGATGCCTTCAAGAAGTCAGCTCTACAAAAATTTCTTAGTAGGAATGGTGAACAATTCGCAAACACATACTTGCCGCTGGCAACGAAAAGCAACGCAGTTTCTACAGGGCGTATGAGCAACCATACCACCAGACTATGAGCTTCCGCCTGTGTGTGTGCTACTCGAATTTGCATCTTTCAACGAGTGACAAACTTTTAGCGACTCGTTACGTGTACCATATGCAAACAACAACAAAATTGACGATGATGTGGGAGTGAGCACATTACATATATTCTAAAATGTTTATAAATATGTAGCTTTCAAAAGCATTTGTAACACGATATGTTTGTATTTGTAAATGAAACTTCGCGGCATGTTTGCATGGACATCGAGCTATTATTGTACTCGCATGCAGCTGCTGTTACTGTTATTGGTGCATGAGTTTTGCAGCAGATTTTGCTTAAATATGTTTGTGTAAAATGTATGTATAAATGTGCTTCGAATATTGCATATTCTTCTACAACGTTTTTATTGTTTCAACAGTTGCACTGCACTGCTGTAATTTTCAACACGTCGACGCTGGTAAATTCTCACCACTCGATTTTTTTTTGTGTAATTTTCAAACGTAA